AGCCTTTTTGTCAATTAAATGACAAAGAAATGTGTATTTTCTTATTTTTTCCAAATAATCACCTATGAAATTATACTAAAACAATTATTCACCTCAGGTTCGGTGATTATCGTGAATAAAAACCTCGACTTCGTCTCGGTTTTTATTCACCGATGATCACCTCGCCTTCGGCGAATAATTGTTAAATAATTGCAAAAATCGCAGTAATTGTTCCCGAAATGAGAATGTGCTGAAACTTCCCAGGCATGGAGTTTATGATATACTTAAAGTAAAATCACACAAAAAAGTCGGGGTCACCGAACTCGTTAAGAAGATATGACAATCACAATATACCACCTTTACCCCAATATGGCGCCATCTTGACGCTCATTACGAGTAACAGCAAACTCACAACAGTCCGATATTTATTGACGTTTTTAGCGCGGATTTTGCTTTAGTAAACCTATCTTGTAATTATTTTTCATTTTGAGCAAAATGAAACTACTAACGTGTACAATTCTGATCCACAAATGTCTTTTCCACATTTCTTTACTTATCTTTCTTTGAGAACATGCATTGATAAAGCATTAATTTTAAGCCACCAAACAAGGATGAGAGTGGACATGAGATTTGCAGTCACGCGACCTTAGTTAGCTGTTCTTAATGCTTCCCCAACACTATCATGTATTCTATTTAAGTTAAAACACAGTTAGAATACTTATCAAACTTTTATTTCGTTAATCTAGAGCTCGAAATACGGCCCGTAACAATTCGCAACAAAGCATTCATTGTTTTAATGGACGATCAATCTTCTTTGCTTATATCAACATAAATTATTTACATTTAGTTCATCTTGTTAAAAGTTTCTATGATCAAAGTGACGTCATCTAACTTTAACTTAAAGCGAAAGAGCGTTGAATTAACATCGCGTGTCCTTGAATAAGATTTACACTGTCAATTATATTATATAGATTATAGGGGTGTATAAAAAACTACACTGTCAGAAAAAGTTCACTAAAGTAAGATGCGCGCGACATTTGCGAAAACTTTCAGTAAGCCTATGTACTTTAACGTTCTCTGGTACATCTAGCACTAAAATGATTTAAAATGCTAACGTTTTTAGAGTAGAAAAGCTGTTACTAAAAACCACCCAAAAAAGGCCTTGCGCAATTCGAGTTAAGCTCCGACATTTGGTGGATGTAAACTAGCCTGCGTAGCAGGCGTTTAGTGCTGCTAAACACGGAAATTTTTCTTATCCTTCGGGCTTTTGACATTGCTATATTATAAAAAAAATATAAAACATTTTTTCCGTATTGATATATAGTTATATCAACACTCGTGAAAGTTGGGAAAACTCGAAATTTTATTAAAACACTCTGTTTCCATACAATTTCTCGTTTTTCCAATTCCACTCGTGTTGATATAACTGTATATCAACACGGAAAATGTTTTATATTTGTTAATTACATAATATTCTAGTCCTAGATCTTGTCGTTACCGAGTAAATCGGTTAGAAGAGTAGTTTCCCTCCATATGAACATGCTTAAGATTTGCGTTCTGCAAGTGCCACTATATACAACCTCGTCCACAGGGCCTTTTGAGGAAAAAGGCGAAGGGCTGCTTCGCCTCCTTCCTCAAAAGGCCCTGGGGACGAGGTTGCACTATATATTGTTTATTTTCAAGCTAAGGCCGTAATTGCCACCCTGAATAAGCTGTTGTTTACAAATCCTTATCAGTTCCCTCATTTCACGATGCCATTTTCTGTACAAAACTGTAGGCAAAGCCAAAAGAGATCTTAGTAAAATACATTTCTTAAAATGCTGCAATTTTACATTCTCCCTCGATCCTTAATTGACTTCGAGTTAAGCCCCAGGCGTAAAAGGGCATGGCAGGGGCTTAACTCGAAAAGTTAACCCTGTCTTGCACAATCTATCAAAGTTCCAAGAAATTTGGTGCACGCGTAGGCCAACGTGAGATCTTCAGAACCTGGATTTTATCCAATTTTGTTAGTTCGAACGCGATTTCTTTGCATGATTTCAAATTAATTTTATGCATGCTCGGACGTTTACATAAATGACAGTACGAAATTCGCAAGCCAATGGCAATACCTAAAGGCCCTTTTTACAAAATTATTTATATGCAGTGTTTATTTACAATTAACATCAATTTTTAACATAGGAGGAACGTTGAAGGTTGATTTTGTTTGTAAATAAACACTGCATGTCAATAATTTTGTAAATACTGTAAACGCTGTTAAAAAAGTTAAAAAGTGGGTTTTTACGACCTTTGAGAATTGACTTGCGAATTTCGTTCTTTAATTTATGCAAACGTCCGAGCATGCACAAAATTAATATGAAATCATGCAAAGAATTAAAAATCGCGTTCGAACTAACAAAATTGGAGAAAACCCAGATTTTGAAGATCTCGCGTTGGCCTACGCGTGCACCAAATTTCTTGAAATTTTAATAGCTTGTGCAAGACAGTCCATATTTTGACTCTGTGTGATTAAATTTTTGGGCTTTGCAAGGCCTTTTTGGGGGGTTTTAGTAACAGCTTTCCTACTCTAAAAACGCTAGCATTTTAAATAATTTGAGTGCTAGATGTAACAGAGAACGTTAAAGTACACAGGCTTACTGAACGTTTTCGCAAATGTTGCGTGCATCTGATTTTAGTGAACTTTTTCCAACTGTGTAGTTTTTTTTATACACCCTGTATATGACCAAAGCAAACTTCGTCGTCATCTTCATTGTGTTCGCCTTGTTGTCCTTCATTTCATAAGTAGTTTCGTCCTAAGAGACTTCTTTAAGACACACCAGAGTACCGTAACCCTGGTAAGGGGGGCTAGGGAGTGCTATCACTTGCCCAATGTGAACTCCCAGACTAGCGGAGGGAAGGAGACGTCTTACTTTTCCATTTTAGACTGGCTCCAAGCAAAGCCTAACCGCTTCCCGAATCAAATTCCAACTTCTATTGTCACTTCATTCAAATCCTTAGCACACATGCAAGTGTTTCTTGTTTTAAAAATTATGTACATTAGAACGTTTCTTGTTTTAAAAATTATGTACATTAGAACTTCTTTTTAACCTTCTTCTTCACTTTCGGTATATTTCCAAACCTGCCAGGACCAGGTAAGCTCTCTTTAACCTTCTTTTCAACTTTCGGTATATTTCCAAACTTACCAGGACCAGGTAAGCTCTCTTTAACCTTCTTTTCAACTTTCGATTATATTTCCAAACTTACCAGGACCAGGTAAGCTCTCTTTAACCTTCTTTTCAACTTTCGATATATTCTCAGACCTACTAGGGCCGAGAAACCTCTCTTTAATCCTCTTTTCGACTTTTGGGATCTTTCCAAACCTACCAGGACCAGGTAAGGTCCCTTTCGGTATATTCTCAAACCTACTGAGTCTAGATAAGCTCTCGTCAATTTTCTTTTTAACTTCTGGTGTAATGCCCAAACAACCAAGTCCAGGAAAGACGAATTTAACACCGCCCAGCCTTTCCCAATTTTTCTGCCCATTCGACACTGAGGAGTATTTGGGAATGCGCAAGTGAAAGAATTCCATATCACCAGTTACCCTAGGTACTGCAAGGACAGTGCCTGTTGGTGACAGCTTCGAGTGAATCACAAACTCTTTGTTAAGATGTCGCTGGAAGGACGACTCAAGACGCTTCCAACTCTCCAAATCAAAAATGTTTATCATGTTTGGAGTCAAATGAATCACAACCGTGTTAGTACAAAATACTTTTGAAATTGCATTTGACCTCGGTCTTTCATCGTCGTGTATCTCATCCATAGTCGCAATACCAGTTTCCAGGTCAATAAACATAAATTGTTTTCTTGCAGTCATAGGGGACATGAAAACAAGGGAAACAATAGCAAATTTGGAATCATTACTAAAACAACACTCGTCACATCTGGCAAACATTCCAAAAGATGCTAATGACTCCTCCACTCCAGATAATGAAGTGCCGAAACAAACAAACACATCATACACGGATGGCTGAGTTTCATCCTTTTTCCAAAGAGTATAACATCTTCTACCAACGCCTAACACAAAGGAAGCACGGGACGACACTGCAATACTCTTCACAAACTCAATTCCCGGCAATATAACTATTTTGGGTTGTCCTAGTTTCTTGACATTGACAACTTTTACAGGTTCTGTCGGACTACACTCAAAGCTAAGATAACCTTCTGAAAAATCCAAGAACCGGAAAAAAGATAAGAACTCGCAATTCACGGAACATAGTGACATCGCTTGCTTCTTAGTTATAGCTATCTTTAAGGTTCTATCAACAGGATATCTTGATAAGCTAGGAATCGTGTCTAATACATGGCAAACGAACAGGTACTTGTCCGACCACCAACAAGCAGCAAACGGTGTCTCAATATTGCTTCTAAAACGTTCATAAATTTGGAACGTCTCGATATTCCACATGTTGATAAATCCATCCGATGTGCACGTGGCAAGTCGAGTACCATCGGGAGAAAATGAGCACCAAAGAACACATGTCGGACGTGACAGACTTGACTGATTTTCTTTGGGGGGCACTGCGCTAAAAACAACCAACTTTCGCTCATCACTATACAACCAACAATCATCTCCAATCGCTGCAATATCAAGAAAAAAATTTTTTCCCGTGAAACGCTGAGCAGTTTCTATAAAAATTTCCCATGCTGCGACTGTTGTGAAGTGTATGCTTTCAATGACGTTCAAAGACTCTTCGCTATCCAAATTAAAAATACAGTCCACTTCTTTGTAGATTCCAGTCGATGAAATTTGGCCATTTCCACTCATCATTGGGCGACCCATTAGCATTAATCGCATGATTCCAAATCTTTCCGAAGGAATTAATTCTTTACACTCTTGCCGAAAACAACGATTACATCTTTCACTCATTAGGGTCCCATCTTTCTTTTTGCGCTTGTTACCATAGAAGTAGCTGGGCACGTTACAATAGAAGTAGCTACGCATGCTACCATTGAAGCTTGTCCTTTGATCGACTCTCTGTAATGTTATGGAGTTCCACACGCAGTAAGCATGTTCATTCGCATAATTCGTACCTATGATAAAGAGTCCTGTGGTGGTAAAAGCACAACAGTCGACCGGAGCTCCTGCAGAAAGAACTGATACCAAGCTACGTCTAACAACATCCCACAGCTTCAGGGTGTCTGAACCATCGTTGGTTATTAACCTTTTGCCGTTTGGAGAAAACGCACAAGACTTGAACCTTTCCACTTCTCTACCAAAAAATGCTGCTTCCTTTTTCTCTTTAATGTTAAGTACCGTTTCAAGCTTTCCATACAAAACGACTGTGTCGTCTGGAGCAAAGGTGCAACAGGAAATGCACTTGTGCCCGGTGGAATACTGCCATAATTGGATCAGTTCTGGCAAACTTAAAACACAGATGGTTCCGTTTTCCAGTGCAATAGCTGCTAACTTCTTACTTGAAGAGACACCAACAGCTACAATGTCGGATGAAAAAAGACTGGTAACAAGTGGCTTTAAAAGTTTCGTTCCAACCGACTTACGTTTCACGCAACGGGGAGATTTTGCTAAAATTACTTCCGCCATTTTCCTCTCGTCATCTGTGAAGCAACCTTCCGGGGAATAATCAAGAACACTTTCTAGGTAAGAATAACGTATCGCAGACCCTTCCTTGAAGACTCTTACGATTTTGTGATTCATCAAATAGCTAATTTCGTTAAAATGCCATGAAATTCGCTTTCGCAATTGAACGCTTAGGGCCACTTCGATTCGAAGAGCTTTTTCCAAGATTTTTTTTAAATCACTTCGGAGAAAGTTTTCCATGATGTTTTTTGGAGAAAAAATGCGGGTACTTTTCGGGTGGATGCTTAAAAGGACATGAACAATTATCATATCCACAAACCATGAAAAACAATCCTTAATTTGACAGGCAAGTAGATATTCATGTCCGTATTCCAGAGCGTGCGTCACCTCGTTGGTAAACTTCAAGTCGTGTCCTAAGGAAACGTTTCTTTTTATTTCATTAAAAACCTGTTTGCATAGTAGCCACAGCCGTTTTTCACCATCGCTAACTTTGACAGTATACTCATGATCGTCGTATCCGTTTGCAAGAAGCCAGTCATATACGGATTTGTGAAAAACGGTTATTACATCGTCGGAGACATACAACAAGCACGACACTGCCTCGTTCACTTCGTTAATAATTTTTTTCGTTTCACGACAATCAAAAGCTAAATCAAGAACCCGAGCGACGAACTTCAGAGGAAGTCCTGCTTTCATAGCTACAAGTAATTCCAAGAGCTTGAACAAATCAGGATTTCTTTTCATTGCGGCTTCAAGTTCAATCTCAAGGCGACGAAAATAAGCTTCGTATATAGAAGCCATTCCTTTAGGAAGAAAAGACATAATATCTTGAAATGTTATGGTGTCAAGATCCTCGCGTTTACCCAACTCGTGCTGAACGTGGAAAGCATACAAAAATGAACCCTCGCACTTTTCCACAATCGCATCAAGAACGGCATTAACAATAAAGATGTATGATGAACGATTCATTTCATCTCTGGCTGCTAAACGATTCATTTTATCTCTGGCTGCTGAACGATTCATTTCATCTTTGGCTGCAAGAGTTGGAAGCCTAACATTTAGATATTTTAGAATATCAGATTGATTGTCAACGTCATTGACACCAACTTCTATCACTTCAATGTGGTCCAATTTTCGCAAAGAGAGTTCCGGTCGGCTAGTCACCAAGACTTTGACATATCCCGGAAGATCTGGAAAATTATCAGCAATCAATTTTACCATGTCGCTTTTATCATCAGTCGCACTTTCATCCAAACCATCGATCACAATTAAGCTATGTTCTACTACCAACTCATCAAGCGGATTTTGCAAATATATTTGAAAGGCGTTCTTCAGGCTATCGGCTTTATGTGGTCGCTTTAATTGATCAAGAAGCTTTTCTTTAAAACCAACAATATTTTGACACATATGACTTGCAAGCGACTGCAGCATCGTCATAGGATCATTCAAATTCGAAGTGCCAAAATCACAAAAATGGCATGCTGCCAATCTCCCCTCTTTTTCAAAAATTTCGCAAACTTTCGCAGCGAACACGCTTTTGCCAAACCCAGGACCGGCAGTTAACAGCAATAATCTTGGCTCATCTTCATTTGCAAACCATCTGTAAATTTGTTTTAATAACCATTCTCTTGTGCCAGGGTGAAAAAACTTGACTTTACTTTTTATTTTACTCTTGAAATTATGCTTTGCAAGTTTTTGCAATAATTGTCCTTCCACGTTCATACTTGGTTTTTCACTAGCTTTACTCTCCTCAGAGTCATGTGTGGGTCTTGGATGTTCGGATTCACTCAAACTAGAAGTGCACAACTGCTGTATCCCTTGGTGAATTTGCTCGATAACGCCTCTGTCATCCTTTTGCTGACTGTGAATCAAACTAACACCTCTTGTAAGATCGTCCAGCATATTCTTACATTCTTCTTCTTTTAAGACCCATTCCTTAAGTGATTGCCAATAGACTTTTTCTTCAGGACCCAAAGGACATGTCTTCAAATCATCGATTTCCTTTTGTGGAATCTTCAAGTCGAGCAAAGCTTTAGAAATTTTCTGCCATAAATTATCAAATGTTATTTTGTCCACTTCTGTTGAGGCAACATGGCCATAAACTTGATTTCTAAACAATTTGATTCGCGTAATATTTGCTTGGGGAGAATGATCTGTGTCTGGAGGCATCGTATTCCAGCCTGTTGCAGGAGGGGGTAAGCCAGCAAGATTCCGCAAAAGAACAGTAAGTAGTGTAACATCAAAGGTCTTCGAATCTGGTGGGTTGCCGGACGGAGGGAACAGTAAATCCCACTGGGTATCATTGATGACTCGAGGTTTTAACTTTAGAAGGGTTGTTCTGTTGGCATTAAGAACTGCGGGTAGGTTGGAAGGAGGATGTATGGTATCCAGAGTATTTCTTAAAGCTTCAGTCCCTTTGTCCACCAAAAGTCTACTAAGCCTTGTAAAATTAGCTTTTTCTTGCAGATTGACGGAAGCCATGACCTTGACATTACTGCAACATTAAAAATTAACAAATGATACACGGTTATATATGTTTAAAAGAAACGAGAAAATTGATGCCAGTCGTACACGTCGAAATATGTTGTTATGATTATCGCTTTATTCGTTATATTGGTCATTCGTTTTTTAATATTATTTTCCCACTATACTGTGCGATAATGTAGGTTTGTGAAATTTAACTATATATTGTTTGTGGACTTTTACAGAATGCCACGCATGTTTATCAACATCGTGTCAGATTAATTTCAACGTCAGCCACTAAGAGTAAAGTCCAACTTTTATATTTCCAACGTGACATTCTAAGAACCAGACGTAAACAAACGGTTTTATAGCAACCCCGGTTTTATAGTCAGTTGTGTCAGCTCACGGCCTATCGAAGGGAAGATGGCTGTGAAACTCATTAGAATAACAATATAACTCATTATCTATGTTAGTCAACGTTTATTCATAAATCTGGTCCTTCACCGTCACGTGTGTATTGTATTTTTGCCCAACTAACCAATAGGAATGTTTTAGGAAAGTCACCTATCCGTGACTTGAACAATAGGGAAACAGGAAATTGCTATTGGTGGATTTGGTAAAAATACAATACACACGTGACGGTGAAATGAAAGGACCAGATTATGAATAAACGTTGACTAACATAGATAATGAGTTATATTGTTATTCTAATGAGTTTCACAGCCATCTTCCCTTCGATAGGCTATGGTCAGCTAAATCAGTAAATGACAGTCAACTGATTTCTGTTGTGAAATATACATTCAATATTATGTACTATTTAAAACATGAGCAGCTGTGTTTTATCAGATATAAAGATACGAGGCGAAGCCGAGTATAAAACACGCACTGCGAATGTTTTAAATTGCTTCAAAAACGATCGATCTAGTAAGTTCATTGGCGAAGTAATTTTCAAAAAATACGTTGTAAGTCGAGAAAATCAAAGTTAAAGCATATGTAAATCAAGGAAAATCTCGATCACATATAAAGATACGACACGCTTATGATTTTTCTTTACGTTTTCCTCATGAATTATTACTGTCGTTCCAATTGAAGTGTTCCTCAAATATTGATTCAATACATTAGTATTGAATCAATATTTGAGGAACACTTCAATTGGAACGACAGTAATGAGTTTTTGAAAAATAGTTAAATGTATACAGAGCTTGTATCACATGATATCAATTAGGCGCTGACTTATTATATCTTACGTCACCAGGACTAGTGGAATATATTCCAGCCGAAATCTTGTTGATGTACGCTGAAATATAAAATCAGCGCCTTAGCCTTCTTTGTTGCAGATTCTAGGGAATAATTATATTGTTACGTTATGCATGGAAATTAATTCGGAAATCTCCGAAATAGTGAATCCTTAAATCATCAGACGTCTTCGGTCTGCCTTCGAACACCCAAGTCGATTGCATATAGCGTCCACGTTCAGGTAGACGCCAAATACGGTAGCTCGTGAATTGTCTGCTATAAAAAAATACATATTACAAGAAGAAGAATTTGCACCCAAACTGCCACAATGCTTCTCTTCCAGTTACAGAAATAAACTATTATAACTAGACTTTTGAAAGAAAGAGTGGACAATGGCGTTTTATTCAATAATACCGTTACCGATTATTCATGCATTATCAGACATGGGAGTAAATATCGGTCAGCGTATTAGGGCTATTAGCGTAATCGAAAACAAGCTGGAACAGCTTTACGGAACGGGTTCCTTGAAGAGGAAATACCACGGTGAAACATCCGCGTATTGACTGCTTGCACTCGTATAGACTTGTATAGTAGTATATTATTTTCACGAAGCTCTGGCTAACAGTTTAAAGAAAATTATACGAGAGTGTATATTCAGTATAACTTTGTCTTGACACAAGGAAAAAGCGGTGAAATTCCCTACCTTATAGCTTCAGTCGTTTCCTTATAGTAAACGCTTTTCTTTTTCTGACTCTGTATTTACTCTTATTATTTTGGCAGACATTTCTTCGACATTTTCGTAGATTCATGCATGCGCTTTACGTTTGACCGCTGTGTCGTTACTACATGGTTGGGCCGCTCGCTACCACGATTTCGTAGTTACAGTATAGTTCTCCAGACTCCAGTACTGGTTATTATGCACACGTTTGTTAGCCTGGATGACTAATCAGCGACATTTTATCCCATATTTTATTTTTGGATATCATTACGAGTGTTACGAATAGTATAGTAAAACGAGAACAGTAAAACGACGCAAAATTTATATATCATAATAATAAACAGTGTTAAAATTATACTCGACAGTAGTAATTGTCGCTTCATGCACTTTCTTTGTTTATGTTCCTTTTTAATCAATCGAGTCAATCGAATAATGAATAAACAAGTCCACACTTTATTCATTTCCAGTTACCCTGGCACCCTGCATGTGAGTTTGTTAATAGTTTGTTTGTTCAGGATTATAAGCATTAGTATTTATACAACAAAGTATGTTTTCTGGTTTGTGAACCGGACATTTATTTGAGCCACAACATGCTTAGCCTACGTCATAGACTACAACATGCTATTCAGTGCTTGCCTAAAAGTATAGCATGCAAATTAATTGTATGATGCAGTTTGGGGCTATCTGATTAACCCATTGATTAACCCAGCGCATTCGGGTGCAATTCGTCTCAATGGTTAATGTTGTGGTGCCTGTGAAGCTGATTTGGGGTGAATGGGGGTTATTTTATTCACACCTAATTGGACACTATTGGGTGTCCCAACTGTGTTCCAGACTTTTACACAACTTATTATTATTTTTTTTTTTAATTATTATTATTTTATTATTATTATTATTTATTTTGCCCAATAAAAAGTTTGCATAATTACAATGCTATAAAAACAACGTGAAGGGCTAGGGACCTTAATGAAACCCTTTCAGGCTTTTTGGTAAGAGGTCCCTAGTTTTACAATATTCATAAGAATAATTTTTTATAGTCAAATAGAATATTTACAAGTAATGATTATAACATAACTAAGTATTAAGAAGAAGAAAAGTTTAATTTAACTAAAAATGATTTTCCTATATACAAGACATGAAGGCTCTGTGTTTTCTGATGCGTATATACAAACATTATGACTAGTTTGATGACAATCAAGTATATTCCAAAAAGAATATCTTTGATTTTATTTTAAAAGTAAAATAAGACCTAATATTGCTTATCTTTTCATCAAGAGAATTCCATATTTCAATTCCCTTGTTAATAACGGTATGTTTGGCATAATTGGTTCTTCTATAGTTAACGTGAAATTTGTTTGCATTTCGAGTATTATAACGATGTATTTCACTATTCCGCGTGAAGTAATTATTAAAAAATTCAGGTAAATTTTGGAAGTATTTTATACGGTACATGAATAAGCAACTTAGATAATCATTGATCTTAAAAATATTTAAAATCTTCAACTTGTGAAATAACGGTTCAGTGTGTTCAAGATAGGATTTGAAGGTGATCAGTCTAATAATTTTTTTCTGTACATTCAGCAACTTTTGAAGCCTTGTTGGGTATGTGTTTCCCCATGTTAGATTCCCATAAGTAAGAAATGGATAAACCAATGCATAATAAATTAATTTTAGCGTATTTCCGTTTGTAAAATTTCGTAGTTTTGCAATAAGTGCAGTGGCTTTAATTATATTTTTCAAAACCGAGTTTATATGGTTCTTCCACGTCAGATTTTGATTTATTATTACACCTAAAAATTTTACATGAGTGACCTGTTGTATTGTGTTATGACTTAGTTGAATATTAATTTCAGTGTCGCATTAAAGGAATACCGAATGGTTTTCCGTGCAGGATTGCGTGATCCATGCACGCGGGATGTTGCGAGACTTTCGGAAAGCGCGAAAATACACGAGCAGTAGGCGAGTGTATTTTTACGCTTTCCGAAAGACGAGCAACATCCCAAGTGCATGGATCATGCTATCCTGGACGGAAAAACCATTTGGTAATTGTTTTATAAAATTACTACAGTGAAACGACGGTTAACTTGATTAAAATTACTGATGAAATGTGCAGTTCTCACAACAATCGTCAATTAACCAATCGGAGAATCGCTACTCCACGCTATTGAAAACAACAACAAATGCGAACAGAATTTGATCGCAAATTCGCGAAAATATACAGCGAAAATACAGAGATTTTTTCGATCAAATTTGCGAAATTTGAAATGGAAAACCAAAGTAGTCATGAAAAGATTCTGGACAGTGGCGTAACGG